CCCCAAAACCCCAAAACCCCAAAACCCCAAAACCCCTAGAGTGGAGATACAGCCCAGAAAGTTTAAATTTTATAATGAGATTAATGGTTACTGAGAAAGGTTAAAATATTTTGCAAGAAATAAAGCATGATCTCAAACCCATTCTTTAATAATCCTTGAATAATACTCCCCATTAAAGATAAGAGAGTAAAGACTTCTAGAAAATCATAACATAATTTGGTCCCTCGAACACAAACAGTTAAACTCTAAACACATTAAATCTTACTAAAACTAGCTTTAGTAAATCAAACAATTGATATCAAACAGATTTTCTATCAACATCTATCGCTTCTCCAGCTAATAAGACTATTCCTAAGGGTGCCGCTTCATCATTTATAAATACTATTTCAAGTTAAAATTTGATCCCAAGAAGGGAGAATAATGCACCTTCAAGACAAAGCTTGATTCTGAGTCATAATTCAGTGGCGGCAACTACTCACTCATAGCTGAAATCAGGGTTTTTCCCAGTAATTAAACCAGAAAGGTCTAAATCTCCAATTAAAATAGACTAGCATTAACTAAATGTAAGTGATTTTATTGAATAACACATTTATGAATAGCCATAGCATAATTTCGGTACAGACGACTTTTTATCAAGCAAGGTGGCTTTCACCAGCAGTAAAAACACAAATCATGTCTTGGTCGTCGATGATATAATTCCAATAAAGGTCTCCACTCCTAAGTTAAGACTATCTAAAAAGAAAAGAGAAGCATTGGAATTGTACCAGAACAAAGAATTGACCGATTAGAATCATTTCAACAGTTTTTATGAGAACCAGCTGATAAAATCTGACACCTAATTACCGAAATTAGGCGAAGATATATCAAGGAACAGCTTGAAATCGTCATTATCTATCTTCAAAAATAGAGAGACTTATTAAACTATAGAGAACCCAGAATCCCAGTAGCCACTGCTATCCTAGTATTTTGAGTAAAAGGATAAATTGACCTAAAAGTAGTGTAAGCCTAAGAATAGATATCACCCACCTGCTTAGTCTCAAACTTTTGGGCAGTATTAACTAATCAGAAAATCGAGAGCATAAGATATCGGTCCTTCAAAAGAGGAATAAAGCAGATAGTCAGCATTGAAGGAGCTGAAGGATTCTCGATTGACTGAGCGCATGATCGAGACTCATAAACTTAGGAATAACATCATTCAGAAAATAAGAGCACGCAGCGAGTTAAACCAGTTTAATAATTCAACTGATAAGCATTTAAATGGATCTGCAGAGAAATAAAATAAGGAAGCCTAATGGTTTAAATCTATTCAAGAGCAGGTTAAAGAGGAGACTGAACAAGCTAACAGGGAGATTTTTAAGTAGACTATGTATGACTAGCGGAGAGCAGAGAGGCTAAATGACCGTGTGATGAAGAAGTATAATGCGTATTGGCAGGCGTTCAATACTGCTAAAAACTATGATGCAAAATAGTACTCTGTAGTTTAGTTGCTATAAATGGAATAACAGCAGAGGCCCAAAGCCAAGATGATTCCAACTGCCCCTGTAGATGTAGAGGATAATAAATTTGCTTTTGTCAGGACTAGTTTGCAAAGAAGTGGAGGTGGTAGGCACAGTAGATCAAAGAATTCGAATCATTATTTATCAGTCCCGAATTGAAGAGTTGTTATTATTATATGGATTTATTGAATTAAGATTAAAATAACTATTAAATATTATGTGCTGGGATTAATCCATCAAATATGTTCAGAACTCATCATCGTCATCATTTGCCCCATCTACTTTATTGTACGATGAAAACTTCTACTACTCATAGTGATAAAATTATTTCTTCTGCATTGGCTGTCTATTCTAATGGCCTTTAGCTGATTGTGCGGCATCTTTCGATCTGAAGCTTTGCGAGAAGTTGGATTCAGAAACTGCAAAGTCATTTGAGTCCATGAAGTCTCCACTTTCGTTGAGCTCGTCTATCTTTCTCCGCATGAGACTTTCAATTATTCCTGATTTCTTTTGAGGCAGAGGTTGCTGCTGAATTCCACTGTTGAATAGTGGGATGTTGCCCTTGCTCTCAGAAATGTCAAAGTCGATTGAAGCCTATGATTCCATGATATTGAAATCTTATGGGAGTGATCTCTTTTGTCTTATTTGATCTTCATCAATTTAAATATGCCCTTGGCCGATCGCAGATGCAGATTGCTTCGTAGTCTTATTTTTACTCAATGGTGGTAGACCACTTTAACTTAGAGTACCCTAGACGTTTACAGTACCAGACGCTTGCGACGCTTACTCAAAATCATCATCTTTATACACGTCATAGTCTTCATCTATCTCATCTTTGACCTCATCTGGTATGCTACTGTTCTTATCCTCCTCAGTGATCTTGTCAATCCCTGGGTTGTTGAACTTCTTGGCCTCTTCGAGATTAGAAGAAATCTGATTAGAGTCTGCTAAACTTCCCTTGAACCCTTCATCTGCGAAGCTGTCATCACCATAAGTATTAGAACCCCCTATCTTGCTTTGAATGCCCTTGCCTCCACTTAACTCATCCTAGTAGGCATCGTCTAGCAGATTCTGAGCTCTGTTTAGGATATCCTATCTCTTCTGATCCTGCTGCTTGCTCTATAAAAGTTCATCTATCTCTTCCCCGTCATTGTCAAACTGGTTGTCAGACTCATCCTCTTCCTCTTCGATTTATTCCTCCTAGATTGGGGTGTGTTGATTCTTTATGTTGTCATTTGTCTTTCTATTTGGAGACTTTAGCTTCTCGTCAAAGCCTATTTTCTAATTAGACTCTGATTTCTAAGAATCAAAGTTCTTCGTCAAATCACTAAGCTAGTCAAAAGCCTTATCATCGCTGCTAAACTCAAAGTCATCATTATACTCTTCTTTTTCCTTCAATGACTCACCAGCATTACTGCTATTCTTATTTAGCATGATCTACTCTATCTCTTACTGATTGTTCTTTAGATATCCAATTTATTATGATATATTGCTCCCTCCTACCAATGGTGCTTGATCCTTCCTGATATCCCATTGCTTCCTATGCCTTGAAGATGATCTATTAGATTGCTTGGACTTTTATGAATGCATTGAGTGTACTGATTCCTCAGCATCTTTACCTGAGGATTGTATCTTATCAGACTGATTTTCGAAGTCATCCTTATATTCATCTATCTCCTCACCTTTATGTATCTAATCGTTTTCTATAGCTGAAGTCTATAAAGGCTTTAAAGGCGACATGCTCTGATACTTGAACACATTGTGCTTATCGTTATTCACACTGGCACTCTCAAATTTCTCAGAGTTTATTGACCCTGCCTTTGATATAGTCTCCTAGCTTATGTTAATATGCTAATTAGTGTTGTTGTTTAGATTTGTATTTTGATTGATATTAGTAACTACGATTTAACTTGGCTACTGAGGCCTAGACTTTATATCTGTAATCTCGTTTTAGATTTTTTTAAGACTCTCCATTATCTCTAGCAGCATATTCGCTTCAGGTTAGCTCGGTGCTTGTTTATTGGACTGCATTGAACTTTGCTTTGATATGCTATTTGGAATTTCATTTTCTTTTTAATGGTACTCAAGCTCACCATCATTTAGTCTGGACAGTGCATCTCTCTAGCCTGGTTTGATGATTCCCTTGCTTTCAAGTATCCTATTGAATGCATTTTTATCAGTAAACAGTTCACTTGGATCTGCCTTTGTACTGCTTACTCTGTTCATCTTCTGATTCAATTGCTCTTTGGATAACTTCTTCATCATAATCTCGAAGTGAATAGCCTGCTCGTTCAGCTTATGCTCATAGTCCCTATACTTTTGCATTTTCATTTTCTGCTGCATGTGAAACTACTCTAGCTATTCAAGCTATCTCTTCTACGCAGTGGCATAAGACTAGACTGTTTACACTTTCTCTACTGCTCTTTTCTGCAGTGTGAGCAAGTACTGCAGACTCATCTACATTACTCTCATTGCTTCGCCGCCTTCTTCACTAATCCACACTACGTTTTTCTCGTCTTTCAAGTCGCAAAATGCGATATCGTCCATATTCATGATCATCTCTTGCAATGGATTTGACTAAGCCTGCTGCTGCTGCTGATATGTCTCAGCTAGATTCATTGTGCAGTTACCATATCTCAACTGTCTAAAATCTATCTTATTGATATTTCTCCAATTAATCTTGTGAAGAGGGTCTCCCTTTGTAAATCTGAAGTTGGGATCCATTGGGATGTAGGGATTATCCTCTTCATTCATAAACACCTCGCCTTCTTCGTACTTAAAAGGCTGTTTCTGCTTTGGAGGCAGTTGCGACTTTTCTGGCTAAGGCTTTGTGATAATATTGCTGTTATTATTCGATCAATGAGATCGTTTCGATTCTTACTTTTCATTGTAAAAATCATCATTGTAGTTCTCATCATCATCTTGCTAGAGAAAATATTGACTCATTTTTAATTCAAATTTTTATTTCAAAATTATTATCTGTTCAAAGAAATTAAATTACTGAGGGGTTTTGGGGTTTTGGGGTTTTGGGG